TTAAAAGCCTGTGGAACATAACTTGTTAATAGAGAGAGGTTAATCAGATCTAGTATGGATGTGTTGATTAGGGCAAAGACGTCTTTGAGCAGCCTTTTCGGGATGGGGTCCAGGAGACCTGTTGATGATTTAGATGAAGCAATTGTTGAGGTCAACTCAGAGAGATCTATAGGGGAGAAGTAGTCCAAGTATAAATGAGGTCTTCCAGATGTTTCTAAAGCCATTGTAGTAGATGGCACATCTGCGAGAGCTGTGGGAGTGGTCCGACCAATTTTTTCTCTAATAGTTGTGATTTTATTTGTAAAGAAGCTCATGAAGTCATTGCTGCTGAGATCTAAGGGAATGTTAAGCTCAACAGCACTGTGGCTCTTTGTCAGCCTGGCTACAGTGCTGAAAAGAAACCTGGGGTTGTTCTTATTTTCCTCAATCAGTGATGAATAAAATGTGGTTCTGGCACTATGAAGGGCTTTCTTATATGTTATTAAACTATCTTTCCAGGCTATGAAAAACTCTTCTGACTTAGTGGAGCGCCACCTCCTTTCCATTTTTCGTGATGCCTGCTTTAGGGAGCGGAGCTGCGAGCTGTACCACGGGGCTAGCCTCCTCTGTTTCACTACCTTCTTTTTCAGAGGGGCAATGGTATCAAGTGTATTACGCAGGAAGGCTGCAGTACTATCAACAAGATTATCGATTTGTGTGGGAGTAAGGTTAAGGTGGCCTCCTTCCACTGTGTTGGCAAACGGCACTGAAGTAGATAAAGATGGAATTATTTCCTTAAACTTGGTAACAGCATTGCCAGATGGACATCTGCTGTAGTGGAATTGTTTCCCACATAGAGTATAATCCATTAATGGAAATTCAAAAGTTATTAGAAAATGGTCAGACAGAAGAGGGTTATGGGGAAAAACTATTAAGTGTTCAGTTTTGATGCCATATGTCAGAACCAGATCAAGAGTGTGATTAAAACAGTGAGTGGGTTTATTTAGTTTGAGAGAAGCCAACTGAGTCTAATAATGAACAGAATGCATTGTTGAGGCTGTCATTGTCGGCATCTACATGAATATTAAAGTCGCCTACTATGATTATTTTATCTGTACTAAGCACTAAATCAGACAGAAAGTCTGAGAATTCACTTAAAAACTCTGAATAAGGAGCAGGTGGACGGTATACAATAACAAACAGAACAGGCTTTTGAGTTTTCCAGTTTGGGTGTGAGAGACTCAGGGTGAGACTTTCAAATGAGTTATAACTATGTTTAGGTCTAGGGTTGATTAATAAGCTTGAGTCAAAGATCACTGCCACGCCACCACCTCGGCCTGTGTTTCGAGGGATGTGTAGTTATTGTGACTAGGTGGAGTGGATTCATTTAGGCTGACATATTCTTCCTGCTGTAACCATGTTTCAGTAAGACACAGTAAGTCAATGTGATGGGTTTCATTTATGGGTTTCACTTTAAACTTGTACCGCTCTGGTGTGCATTACCACAAATTGAATTGTGACTGTGAGAAAACAGGCTTCTTCCACCCATTTCTAGGCCATTCGCATTTTCTTAACCACACTGAACTCTTTTGTCTATACCTTGTAAGGTATATCAGGTCTCTTCAAAGCACTGTTTTAGAGGTTTTTTCAAACCATTCTTGCAAGATGAAACTCTTACATCTGCTGTGGGCCCAGATCTTGTTGTTAATTGGCACACTTTGTCTCTGCTTGCAGGTGGGCTGTAGCAAGGTCTACACCAGCACTTCAGATGTCATGACCCATGAAAACTTCCATAAAAAGAACGCCCAGCTGATCAACGATGGCTTCCAGAGATTTCGTGCCACTGAGGACTGTGGCACAGTCGGGTGTCAATTCTACGGGCAGAAGACTACACACTTCCACTGCAGGTGAATAGTCCTGGATGTTTCTCTGCAGGATTTATTTTTACATTTAGAAAATTTATATTTATAGTAAATACATAAAAACAAACAATTTTGTATATTTTCTTTTATTACTTACAACCAAATCAGAAAAAAGTTGATGGTAGGTAAAATCAAAAGAAAACTAAAGTAGTGATATGTAGACAATCTGTGTCCTGCATTACACTGAAAACACTGCAGCAGCACATTATATGATGATACCTCATCAACAAAAAAAAAAAGATTTTGTATTTCCATAAGTGGGGTAAAACTATGGAATAATTTAAGTGTAGA